CAAATTAAATGTGCCATCTCCATCATGCGGTGGTATAATGAGTCACCTTCGACAATATGAAATAGTATGTTCCTGAGCACACAAAAGGAAGGAGGGAGCTTGATAGAAGGGTAGAGAAACTTAAAGTCCAATACCATGACGTACTAGGGGAGGTGACCTCTTTCAATTGTATTATGAGCTCCACTGAACTAGCGATAATGTAAGGGTAGCCCTTCAGGTGGGGAGTGAGAAGGGCATGCACAGCATTCTCCAGTCTACGGGTAGGTGCTCTTGTTTTGTCTACCACCAGACGGAGTTGTCACCCTTGCTTATGGGTCTTCGCAAAGGCAAACAATCTAGGAACATCAGGGGAGTCAATGACAAAGTTACAAAAACGAGGCAGCCAGCAGACAAAACACTTAACTCTGGATTGCAGAGTTCACCCTATCACATTGGATTAGTTGAATGTATTCCTGTAGGCCTCGTTCATGTGTGTCACGCTTCACGAGAACCATAGCTTTGGTTTTGTTGGTCCTGACAAGAGTAACTTTGTTCAGTTGCATCCAACAAACAGTACGACATAGCTTGTCCCTCAGTTCCAAAACTTCGGAAGACCTTAGTTTTCTTAATTTTGAACTTGGCCATCCGACAATAGTAGAGGTGATGCAAATGCTGGTCCATACTTCAGGACTTCCACTACAAAGTCCGGTAGCCTTAAGTCATTTCAGACCATAAATGGGAAGGAAGGGTGTTTGAGACTCCTGGGAACCTAAAAATGTAGAATCTACAGGAATTTTTTTTTTGTGACAGTGTCTCTTCAGATTGATTCTTAGGCTATCTTGGATGTTAACCGCTTGGCATTCTCATGTTATAGGACCTCTGAGCCATGATGGAACAAAGAGTTTTTGAATTCTACCAGGTATGCCAATTTAGAATATACTTGTTTCCCAGAGGAACAAATGGCCCTGTTCAAGCAGATCATCCTCACCCTATTAAAGAGAGGTTCACTCTCAGTAAGAAAGTTGATACGGAAGAACAACATGGGTAAGGCACTGTCCTTTTACAATCCATCAGGAATTAGAGTTGAGTTCTGGCCTTAGTTAGGACTAAAACTGTTCTATAGTGTATTTTAGCTGGCATCACTAAAGAGTAAACAACCACTCACCACACCAGGATATAGTTAATTACATACAACAAACAGATTACGGTGTGCAGATAAAGAAAACAAACAAAAACAAATGTCTTCAAACTCCTTCTGAGTTCTTCATCAGGTTTTATAATGCCTTCCTGATGGTTCTTCATAACAGCTTTTGGAATAAAATTCAAACAAGTGTTTGAATATAAGTTCGAAAAAATTATCAAAGCCACGTCGCGCCTGCACAAAGAGTTGCCCTACCAGGACTCAATGAATGGCTAAACCATGTTGAGCTGCAGATAAATAAAACAAACATTAATGTTTGTTTTCTTATCTGCATACCGTAATCAGTTCGGAGTTCATGATTAACCCAGTATGGTTGAGTGGTTGTTTAAACATGACTTCATTTGCTTCAATATTTTAATACTCTACAGTGTATAAATTTGTGTATAATACAGATAAAAATTTCTAATCTAAATTGATAGCATCATCATAAAATTACACAAAGTATTTTTACAATTGTACCAAAAAACATTTTTTCTTGAATCTGAAGTTAGAAACTCTAGTTTACATAAGTTAGGAAATAACTGTATATAATTTTTTCATTAATTAATTTATCATCAAAATAGAACAAATTAAAAAGCAAATAATTATAGTGATCATTTTCTAAATAACATACTTTAATAATGCATTAAAATATATTGGTTATTAGTAATTACGTTAATAGTCTAGCATACTTTAAATTAGAATCCAAATTACTAAATAATTTAACATTCAGATATACATATCTGTAATGTTAAACTGTTTACATCTGTCAATAACTGTATTTATATTTGGCAAACTAATTTTTTAAGAATGAACTGAAAAAATATTATAATATATCCATTACATTTTGATAAATTATTAGTTTATCAAAATGTACCGCTTTGATGACTAGTGTTATAAAATTTTCTAATTTCTTCATTATTATTCAAATATATGCTATTCTTCATGTTCTTATTAATTATAAGAATTTTACAAGCATGATTTACCTATATTTTGTTTTACGTTTGATTCTTGTGTTCAATTTCTGATGATGGACATTAACTTGAAAACATTTTAATCACATTCCTAAATAATTTTCTTTACACAAAACAAATTATAGCCATTTAAATTCATGTCACCACTTTGCATTATATTATTTCCTTCCTCAATCTGCTTCACTTATAATAATAATTCTTTGCTTTAATATTTGGCTTACTTTTGTCTTAATTAACAAGTATTAATTGAGCTGTTAACTGTAATTAATTATTTTATATATAAAAATAATTCTTTGCTTTAATATTTGGCTTACTTTTGTCTTAATTAACAAGTATTAATTGAGCTGTTAACTGTAAAGAATTATTTTATATATAAAAACAAGACTGATTCAAAGTAATAAAAACTGAATTAATATACAAAATAATAATCAAAATTAAATCAAATACAATGAATACTTAAAGTCTGCATTAAGAATCTATACATTGCAAAATCATCATTCAATTTTCCACGAGAGCATAAAATAATAACAAACTAAAGTTCAATCTTAAACCAATAAAAAGAACTTTATTCTTTTATAAACACACAAGTTTTAAAATAATGTAAATAAGCAACTCTCTAAAATAATTGTTATATTTAAATATTGATATGACCTATAGTAACAAAATGTACATTATGTTGAAAATAAGTAAATGATTTTAATTCCATCTGTTTTAAAATGTAACAAACTACTAGTAAATCTTGTATTGTCAGCCAAAAATCAATTTTCATTATTTATAATTAAGATACTTTTCAACGAGAAACATGCTCTCTGACTTACTTTTGCAATGTTAATCATGCTTTAAAAGNGTATTAATTGAGCTGTTAACTGTAATTAATTATTTTATATATAAAAAAAATTGAAAACTTTTTAGTCTTTTAAAATATAAAAGAAAGAAAACAAAATAAAATCACATTTAATATAAAAAAAATCAATGTCTTATTTCTAGTAAAAGGATACAGGTTATAACCATATTACCAGGTTAACCTTATTACTAGAAAATTTATGATATCTAACTCTAATTTCCAGGATATATAACATATTTAACAACAGGAAATTGTAAAAGATGATAATGTCAAGGACAAAAACACTATGGTAGTTTCAGAATCATTTTATGAAAATTAATGCATTAAAAAAAATTTATTACCATTACCAAAATTAATAATAACGAACAACGATATCTATAAATTGTATAGCCTAAGTGAATAGTGAAATAATTCAAAATAAATCTGAAGTTATTATTAATCCAGCAATGTATTAAGGAATAAAACTAAATAAATCAATTAAAAATTGCCAGAAATCATATTTAAAAGAAAAGGGATAAATGGAATACAGAAAACTTCACACTACTCGGACAAATTTTTTCAAAAAATTGTTCAGTAACGTAAAATTTCTTGAAAATAAAAAAATTATAATTAACAAATGTTTTCTATATTCAGAAATCTCAGGTACCATGCATTGTATTACTGGAGTTAGTAAGTTATTAAAGACTGCACATTGCTGTATACTGCATTGTCATGAACTTTTTTGAGTTCATTTCCTTGTAATAATAAATTTAGTAGTGTAACTTACTAAAGCTCAGTAAAACTTCAGTATAGAGCTGATCGTAATAAAGTACTGTACTGTATATCCATCTTCTAATTTTCTAAGTTGCTGGAAGAAACACCCTGCTAATTTGGACAACCTCCATCCCTATTAGTCTGAGTTAACATAATTTTACTCTACTATGTTTATGCAATTATTTCACATCAATAATGTGATTAAAAATAATCAATGTCATATAGTGTGAAAAGATTAAAACTTTTTCAACTAATGTGAAAACAAAAATATGGAGGTAAAACAATGCTAAAAATTGATACTACTTCAGTATGATTGTAAATTAATATAGTCTTAAACTCATTATAAAATTCTTTAATGGCTTTAATAACGGCTCCAGGCATTAATTTCCCATGTTATGTCTTGAAATGTCATTCAAAGTTGGAAGTTATCCTAATAATAATAATCAATTTCACACCTTCATTACTTTTTCCAGCAATACTTTATTAGAAACAAACATTTTCAGCCTAGTTTATGGGTCTGTTTCAGGTTCTATACACTCAAACTGAATGGTTTACTGAGTGTTCCAAAATTGGAATGTTTCAATCTTTAAACTGACTTTTTTCTAAAAATGGTGTTTTTTTTTAAAAATTGAATAATCTAATGCATCAAATTAAATAAAAATGTGAGGGACGAACAGACCCACAATAAAGTGTTATTTTAAATTTTAATTATTGGAAACTTTAATCGGTTAAATTCGAGCGTTTTATCGAGTTAGGTTAAATGTCATAAAAATTATTTCCCACGGAGTTTGTTCCTTGTTGAGTCGGATCAAGTTGGTCAGGGATGTGTCACAAGGAACTTTTGATGGAAAATCCATATTGGACCCAGTGACACCATAGAAAACGTATAGGCAAAGATTCAAGACAAAGAAGGTATACCGCCCGATCAACAGAGATTAATTTTTGCCGGAAAGCAATTAGAAGATGGTCGCACCTTATCCGATTATAATATTAAAAAAGAATCTACACTTCACTTGGTTCTTCGTTTGAGAGGAGGAATGCAGATTTTCGTGAAGACATTAACTGGAAAAACCATTACTTTGGAGGTAGAACCAAGCGATACTATCGAAAACGTAAAAGCCAAAATCCAGGATAAGGAAGGAATCCCGTATGACCAGCAGCGCTTGATTTTTGCCGGTAAACAGTTAGCGGACGGTCACAGTGGTGTCAGAGCGGGATAGAATTTAGAAATGACCCTAGATAACTCAAAAAAAAAAAAAAAAATGGAGACAAGAGATGAAGGTCGGGCGCGAGGAGAGACAGCAGGAGGTGCACGAGCAGAGCCCGCAGGAGGAGCCGCGTTAGGCGGATTAGGAGGCATGATTCCATTGATACCTTCCTTTGCAAGGGACACAGAGGGCCTTAAGGTCACCGATTTTTTTGAGTCTTTAGACGAAATCGCAAAATTAACTAGTNTCATTGCAAAATTTTTTAAATGTTCACACCCTATTGCACCCGATCCAACCTATAATTTAAGATTAAACTTTTAGATCAAAGCAAAAATGTAATAAATTTTTCGTAAAACACACTAAAATTTCACACACACACTTAATAAGTTAATAAACTTTTAATAGTTTTATTTAGTTTAGTTTATTTACTTTTAATAGATACATAAAATTATAAGTTTCAAAAACAAATTATATAAAATCATTAGGTATTTCTCAAAGCTGAACATTTCATTATAGTAATTTATTCCGTTTATTATTATTACAAGTGTCCTTCAAAGTTTATTCCAGAAGTTAAATTATATTATTCCACAATTAAAAAAAAAAAAAGACATGTCAACTATGTAATTCCAGAATTTTAGCTAAGTTTTTTGGATATACATCAGTATTCTTAAGTACTCTAATTTTAATGGCACATTTTTGGTTTTTCTATTGATTGAAACTCATTCTAAAAAGGCAAAAATGACTTATCTAAATTTGTTTAGTGAAGTGATTCCATTAACAGATTTACTTTTTTTTAAATCTTATTCTACATGTTATATCAAATATTTAAAATTACAGTGAAAAAATTGTTTAAATGTTACAATAACTTTCATAAATTCAAATTTAATTTCATAGTTACCTTACACTTGTAAGGATGAAATTTTTCTGATTATAAATTTAATGAATACTCACCACAAAATATTTTAAGGATGAAAGTTTTTCTTGAAATTCTCTTCCAAATACTGCTATTTGTGAATCATATCTACTTCCAAGCTGTAAATAAGTGAAAGGAATTGTTTAACTTTATAAAATGAAGTTTTTGAAAAATTGATTTAAAGTAAACTCAAAAAAATTGATAGTTTTATACATTTCAATTTATCAAAATTGAAATGTTTTTATAAGAAAAAAATATTTGTGAAAATTCTTTTAACATCAATTTTGAAACGATATTTTGTTTTTTATAGTAAGAAGTATATTTTGATAGTTATTGACAATTAACGAATAATCATTGCAATTTAGTGAATATTGGAACAGACAACTGGATTATTTTATATTAGTGAGAAGAGAAAGATCTTAAACCTTCTTTGTTTAATAATTTTTTCAAAACAGTTTTATACCTTTTTTTAGAAAATTGCCAGGACAAATTTACTTTTACAAAAAATATTTTTCTCGGTAGACCAAGAAATATATTTTTTTTTTTGTAAAAGTTATATACCTCAAGTATTATTATTTTAATAACAATTTGCCATTAATTATCCTCATAATTCAAATGGATCAATAAAATAAATATATGACTGTTTTTAAAACTGAAAAAAAAAAAAATAAAATAAAAATAAAACAAGGTCTTAAAATCTTAAATTTCAGGACTGAATTCATTAAATTACAAAGTTCATTAATCTAGTACCCAATAATATAGAACTGTAGGATGATAATCTGGTATGCTAGTATTCTGCAAACCAGAACGTTTTAACATGGGTTCTGTAATATGCATGACTGATGTATTTTTATTTTCCACAGGTTAATGTGAGAACAGCATACCTAAACAGCTCTCTCATACTCTGAGCATGTTAAAATAACATGCCAAATAACAAAAAGCTACACAAGATTCAAATCTGAAAAATTACTGTATCCACATTTATGTACAAATTGTATTCATTAACGTTTTTGAAAGTTTTCCAATCAATCAATCTTAATACAGAATAGTTATGCACTAATCATCTATTATGTATATCAAATCAAGTATATATTAGACTGCTGGTATAGTACAAAATACAGTAAAACCTGTCTATGGCGACCCATGGTTCCTTCAAAAAGTGGTCTTTTAGACAGGTGGTGCTGTAATATCGTATTTCCGCACGTATTTTGCACGCAGATATGGCTAAAAGCCATATATACTAAGCAAAACTTGAGGTGAGCAAAAATAAGCAAATTTTTTCAACAATAGAACTATATTGGTACTGTATTTTATTCTTATCCGATAACTCGATTAACAGAAGTCGTCATGATTTTATAAGACAGATTTAATACCAGTATTTTAAAGATTAATACAGTATTCGCATCTTCTCAATTATAATGCACATTTTCTTTTATCCCGAGATAATTAATTCAAGTTGGTTCTCTTCACTTGCTCCTCAGTTACGTGTATTACGTCATCAATATAAAAGCGTGTGGTATTGCACCACCACTTCGGTTTTGGTTAGNCATGCTTGTGTCCAAGGGCGAGACGAAGATGTACAAACCTATGCCGTGCGATTACAAACCCTGGTAAGGGATATGATGGTAGAACAAACTAGCGGGGATGCGCAGGAAAGGGAAGTTATCAAAAGATGTCAACAAAAAGAGAGGGACAAAAGATTGCTGGTGCAATTCCTCAGCGGCTTAAATGAGCGTATAAAAAGACAAGTGATGTCGCGAGATCCGGAGACATTTGATAAGGCGGTGCAGGCAGCCATCAGTGAGGAAACTATTGAACAATTAACGGCGAAATCACGAGCGATAGTCAGGAACATAAACAATCCTATCGATCCGAAAAAGGATCCTAGTGGAACCCCTCATAAGCAATTAGAGGAAACTTTAGCAGAAATTCAAGATCAATTCAGACGATCAGGAACTCAGGAAAGAAGTCAGGGAAACCCTCCACGCAAAAATCCCATATCTTGGAGCCCCAGAGCTTATGGCGACCGATCACAATATCAGCCCCAAGGACGACTAGACAACGGCTCGCAAGGGCCCCGATATCCTTACTGGAATCAAGCTAGAATCGAAGGTAGGGATGCTGCATATGCTCCCCGAGATGGGACCAGGAATGTATCAAGGGGACCGAGAATCGAAAGAGCTCGAACGAATTCCCAGCCCCCAGGAGGCAGACATACGGCAGAATTAGCAAAGTAAATTGGTGGGAACGCAGAATGCCATATCATAAATCGGCTCGACCCTTTAGGTCTTCCCCAGTGGGTTATCATGGATTATATCGAGAGTTGCGATCCCCGACACTGAGAAACTCATATAGCTCCCGAAGGGGAATGCCTTTGATGTCTAGAGGTAAAGAAGGAATCCGAGCACTAGGCTGTGATTCTGAACCAAGTTTATTGTGTAAAATCGACGGATATACGGCTCGACTGGCTATAGATACAGGGTCTAAAGTCACGCTTCTATCCCAATCATTGGTTCACAAGGTGGCTGGCGTAGAACTTACTTGGAAAAGAGGAGAGATTTTGTTCCAAAGTGTTACAGGCCATGGAATAACCACCTATGGGACCATAAAGGTTCACTTTGATATGGGCCCTTTGCAATTTTCTCACTCGTGTTATGTCGTAGATGATCAGATTACACATCCATTTGATGGACTTTTAGGAAGAGATATTATAAAAACCCAACAGTTGACNGTATTTTTAAATATTTAATATTTTCTTAAGTACAATAAAAATTATTAATTAATAAGAATATGATTCTATTATTTCTTCTCATAATACAATTTCATTACATCAATGATAATTGTGAAATCAAAAAAGGAAGGTTGCCTGTAAAACTGATTTTGTGTTAATGCATTTATTGTTTGTGTGCGAAAATTACTTGAATACTGTTTTTCTAAAAATATCGCAGAACTAAGGGAGGTTGATACAGAAACTATTTATTACACATGTACTATATAATGAGCTTCAAAAATATAAAATAAATTTTATCAAACGATGAAATCAGCCAATTAATTGTATCATGTACAATATTTTATACCCTTAAGTAGGTCTACAGTAAAGTAAATTTCATTTTCCCACAGTTAAACTTCACAGCTAATTGCCATTGGGATAAACCATTTTCACTTTCTCTGATAACTTTAACCTCATCTTTTAAGGACAGCACTTTACATTTCTTTAGTTTTTCAGACAATTTTGAACAAATTGAAATGAATTTCCTTTGTTGCTAGACTAATTCATTAACACCTGTACCTAATTTTAAGGGTGGGAGAAGTGCTCGAGGTGGGTTCGAACAAGAGTTTAGATGCGGAAGTGGTCGCTTATTACAGTTGTTGTATGTTGTTTCGGACCAAAAATAGATGCCTGCGGTTACGTTACACAGGTGATCGTTTAATAGTAACTTATACGAAGACTATGTATAAACCATTCCGTGCCAGAAATTTTTGCCCATTTTGACAAGTGCCCGTCAAATGCAGGTGGTTGCCTAAGCAGTTTTTACTGTATATAACTTTTCTTGGATATACTACAAAATTATTAAAATAATGCCAATCCAATAATCTAGGAATTTTGCTAATCTAGAATAATTCTGGTCCCCAGATTATTGAACTTCCACTGTAGATGCCTTCAAACACTTTTTGGATGAGATCCTTTACAAATGATACCAAGAACTAGTGCCCTACTCTGCCATCAAATTCCAATCATATTACAATAATATAGTGAAGTTATTCTGTTATATGACTTCAAGGAACCTTAATACTTGAATCATTAGCATTAACCTCTTACCAACACTTAAACCAACTTGTTCTCAAATACTTGGTATAGCTAGGTACCAAAAAGGGGTTCTTTGAGATGCCCAAACCTCAAGTATAACACATTTCCAAGCCAAGATGTGATCTATCTGTACTAGTTAGTAACTACTCATAGTCCACACAAGACAAATTGATGGCATGTTACCTTACTCTTCTTGTTTTCAATAAATTACATTCATTGCTTAGTCAAAAACTGTTCTTGGAAACACATTCAATTCTTAATTTCTGGCCCAGATTAATTTCAACAAAGACTAATTTAATCTTGTGTTTTTGTATCTTTCCTCATCACAAGACACTTTTGGAAAACAGTGAAGAGAAACAAGTAATTTTCTGTGGTGACTATTATACTTGAAATACTTGTACTTATTTTTCTGAAAATGAACTCCTAATTCCTGCTTTTTGTATCCAAAAATGACTTCAGTTTCTTCATTAGACAAGTATCAGCCTCTAATAAACATAGGAATTTGGAATGAGGAGATTTTCTAATATAGAAAATCACCTCACTCATATCCCTGTTTAGGCTGATTTCTATTTTATTCAGGTTCCATTTTAGATAGGTTTTACAATATTTTATGAAATATTTTCAAAGTAGCAAATCAGTTAAGTTCATTGCAAAAAAGATTTTTCAATAATTCCCAAAACTAATTTTTTCACTTAAAATATACATTAATATGTAATATGCAAATATAAATAAATGCATCTCTCAAATTTTGTAAGTTAATATTTGCCATATAACTTTTGAAAAATTATAATTATCCATTTAATAAAAAATGATTCAATATGTTTATATGAATAACTTAAGGATTATATTGACACTATTAAGATTTACTTTGAAAAAACTTACAGGAGTAGCAGATTCTTCATTCACTTTTTGTTCAGGAGGAAGACATTCTAATGCATCAAAATAAAACCACTGTTTAATTGGTCCAAATTTTCCACTGCAAGCCTGTAATTCAAAAATAGTATTCATAAAATTGTAATATTTTATAAATATTCTTACAAGGTAAATATAAATTTATATATTTAACATTTAATTTTAGAATTCATATGCATTTCAATAAAACACTGAATTTTATTTATTTATTTTTTTACATTAGAGTCATACATTATTGGCTGACGTAGAACTTAAAGGCAAAAAACACAGAAAACTCCCAACTTATATTCAGGCAAACACAGTATTATCTCAGTGTTCGAAGAACTTCTGTAAATTAAAAAAAGAAAACGTACTTTCATTATTTCTTGTGCTGCAATTCCACCAATTATTGCCTGCATGGGGCATAAGTTTCCAGCAGCTACATATGAAAAGGTTCGCACTAAATCTTCATCAATCTCTTCCACTTGCTGAGCCTGTTTGTTTACTTTGTGACTCAAAGACACCATTTCATCTGCATCTTCCTAAAAAGCAAAGTAAATTATATTAATTCATAACAAATATTCAAAAATCAGTGAGCATTCACAAACTAACCTGATTCCATGGTCTAGGTAATCTATTGAACTGATTTTGAAATAAATCTAAAGCTTGAAAAATAATATGCAATTGAGGTGGTCGTTCCATTTTTGCAAAGTCGGACATTATATATTCAGGTGATTTTAAAGATTCTTCAAGAGGTTTCTGTAATTTTAATTAAAAGTTTATTAAGATTATGAATCATCATCATCAATTATTGAACAGAGTTTAGTTTAAATTTAATTCAGCCTTTACTAAATTTCAGTATGTACTTTGACAATTACAGAATTTTTAAATTGTAACATTAAACTTGCTTTTGTAAAATGTTTAAGAAAAGCAAATGATAATGATTTTTAATTTTAAAAAAGGATTTTATTAATGTATAGACTAAAAAGATAAACAGTTTATACCACTTACTTAATGTAGGAAATTTAAAAAAAAAAGCTTTTGATCAATTCTAAACCCTTTTATTTAGACTTTCAAGGTAAGTTGTTCTGGTTCATTAGAAACTTTCTATTTAGCTTTCTCCATCATATAAAAAAATTACTTTATGTATGATCAAGTTAATGGTTTTTTCCTTTCAAATTTAAAAGTTTAATCGCACACAACGATTTGATCAGTTGTTTTTAANCCCTTTGACCTTATCACCCGTCCGACCAGAACTAAATACGATGTAGAAGATAACTTCGCATCGGAACTCCACCTTCGAATGGCCAGTGCCCATCAATTAGCACAAGAATATGCCGAAGCAGCAGCCAGAGAACGTCAAAAAATACATCGCCGAACTCATAAAATTCCTACATATCAGGTAGGCGATCGAGTCTTCCTTAATGAAGTTGTCCTACCTCAAGGGTTAAAAAGGAAATTAGCACCCCGATGGTCCGGCCCATTTCGTATCATATCCAAATTAAGTCCTGTCACGTTCCTTATTGAAAATATTCAAACGAAGAAACAACTCCAAGTTCATGCTAATAGATTGAAACATTGCACCGCTAGACAAGAATTCGAAAGGTCAGAAAGTTTAGACCGATTTCCGACACCAACATCTACACAACCTAAGGTATTATCCCGCCAACCTTCCCTAAGTGTGGACCCATGGGATGAATTAATCCTCACCGAAATTCAATCACAACCAGAAACGGATTTAGAATCCGAGGAAGATGATTCCGAAAGTGAAGAGAGAATAATAGAATCTACTCCTAGAGAAGAACCAAGAGAACCTACTTCCTCTCATTCGTATGCATTACGCAGCCGGGGACCAGTGGAAGACATCCCTGGATTCTCCCGACGCCTAGACGAAGTCGAATTCCCAAACGAAAGGCTAGCCCGCCAAAGGAAGGAAATAGCGGTCAACCAAAATTAACAAGACAGAGTTAATTAAGACAACAGACAAAATTTACAAGAGAGAGAGAGAGTAGATTATAAATCCATTAAACCTCTGTATATCGCAAAAAAAATATATTGTCGGAAATAATTAGTTAGAATGATAACCATATCATAGAAATAATCATATCAATGTCGGAAATAATTCATGTTAGTATTATTCACTCAAAGAGAGAGAGAGAGAGACTCTTAACTATATTGTGTTCACAAAACGGGTCCTTATCATTTTCTTAAGCCGGATTTCATCAAGAACCTTGAGACATCAAGAACCTTGAGGAAATACCCTACATCCTCTATCTTCGATCGAAACTTCAGCTCATTAAAATCGATCTTGCTCACTCAGAACAAGCCCGATTTTGGAAAGGCCGGGGTGATGTGAGGGACGAACAGACCCACAATAAAGTGTTATTTTAAATTTTAATTATTGGAAACTTTAATCGGTTAAATTCGAGCGTTTTATCGAGTTAGGCTAAAAGCNATGTGAGGGACGAACAGACCCACAATAAAGTGTTATTTTAAATTTTAATTATTGGAAACTTTAATCGGTTAAATTCGAGCGTTTTATCGAGTTAGGCTAAAAGCCATAAAAATTATTTCCCACGGAGTTTGTTCCTTGTTGAGTCAGATCAAGTTGGTCAGGGATGTGTCACAAGGAACTTTTGATGGAAAATCCATATTGGACGCCAGACCGTTAACGGCAACCACCTGACCTCATGGAAAAAACCCAAGAGGAATAATGAGAGAAAGAAAAAAAGACCCAGAAGTCAGTCGTCATCCGAAGTCCCTCTACAACAGTCATCTTCACAAAGTCCGCTCAACAAAAGTTGTGCTCCAGGATTAAAACCGTGACCCAAAATTAACACCGAGAGGAAAAGATTGTGCCTGTTTAAGAATAACATCTACACTTCTCCATGCCTCCACACCAGTGAACAGACAAGATTCGGAATTACTGTAAAGAACAGTCCATCGACAAGGTATTTATCAACCCGCGATTCGTTTGTAAACTCTCTCTCTCGAACGGAATAGTATAAATAGGGGCTATGACCGAAATTGACTCTCTTTGTATTTCCTTTAGTTTTATTAAAATTGTTATTTGTTAGAAAATATGGAGTACGAGTAAGTCACTTCCTCGTCTCTCTCCTCACCTCTACTCCGAATCCAATCGCTCACCCGCTACCGCTCACGTGACTTAACGTCGCGATTTCCGAGTCCCCCAGAGACTCGGTGGTGTCAGATTTAGGTCTCCTGACGTGGTGTCAAAGAGACACCGACCCTACAGTCACAAAAATAATTAGATATACAAATACAGTGAAAACTGCTTAGGCGACCACCTGCATTAGACGGGCAAAAATGTCTGGCATGGAATAGTTTATCCAATGAGTCTTCATATAAGTTACCTGTATTAAACGACCACCTGTGTAACGCGACCGCAGGCATCGATTTTTTGTCCGAAACAACATACAACACCTGTAATAAGCGACCATTTTCGCGAATGTATTTGGTCTAAACTATTGTAAGAACCCATCCCGGGCACTTTTCCCACCCTTGAAATTAGGTGCAGGTGTTAATAAATTAGTGTAGCAACAAAGGAAATTCATTTCAGTTTGTTAGAAAATGTCTGAAATGCAAAGTGCTGTCGTTAGAAAATCGTATTAAAGTTATCACAACAGCAATTAGCGGCAAAGTTTAACTGTGGGAAAACAAAATTTATTTTACCCTAGACTTACAGTATTTTCCTTGGGGGTGTAAAATATTGTACACGATACAATTAATCGGCTGATCTCATCGTTTGATAAAATCTATTTTTATTTATTTATTTTGAAGCTCATATACAGTACACGTGCGATAAATAGTTTCTGTATCAACCTACCTTATTTCCACGATATTTTTAGAAAAATAATATCCAAGTAATTTTCGCAGGCAAAATATTCAAAAAACAATAAACGCATTAATGCAAAAATCAGTTTTACTTCCTTTTTCGATTCCGCGATTGTAATGAAATCGTATAATGAGAAAAAATAATAAAATCGTTTTATTATTAATTAATAATTTTTCTTATTGTACTTAATTAATTAAGAAAATATTAAATATTAAAAAAATACAGTATTTTTAAAGTTAAAATAAGATTAAACTAACGCAAACCAAAAACAAAGTGATGGAGAGATAGACGCGGTTGTATATTGATGACGTAATACACGTAACTGAGGAGCGAATGAAAAGAACCGAGTCGAATTAATTATGTCGGAAAAAAGAAAGTGTGCATTATAATCGAGAAAATGCGAGTATTGTATTAATCTTTAAAATATTGGTATTAAATCTGTCTTCAGGGCCGTGCCATGCTATGATGCAGAGATGCGGCCGTATCAGGCGGCACCGTGAGGGGGCGGCATAAAAAACATTTAAGGGGTAGAATTTCAAAGACTTGAATCATACTTAGAAAATCTACCGCACGGCCCTGGTAAGTTACACCAAATAATAACAATTATAGCCTATATAAGACTAATAATTTATATAAGGGACGGAAAAAAAACATATAAGAGGCGGCATTTCGAAGACTTGCATCATACTTAGAAAATCTACCGCACGGCCCTGTCTGTATTATAATATCATGACGACTCCTGTAAATCTGGTAATCCAATAAGAATAAAATACAATACCAATATAGCCCTATCGTTGAAAAAGTTCGCTTACTTTTGCTCACCTCGAGTTTTGCATAGTAGAAATGGCTAAAAAGTGTGCAAAATACGTACGGAAATATGGTATTACAACACCTGTATTGGACGACCACCTGTCTAAAAGACCACTTTTTGAAGGAACCGTGGATGGTCGCCATAGACAGGTTTTACTGTATATGTATATATGTTATCTAAACAACATTCAAAATAAAATACAATTAAAAAAATTAAAACAGAAACAATACATAGAAATAACAATTAACAAAAGTTATGCATTAGATGTTATATAACAATAACAGCTTAACTTTAATTAGATGCTTAGGTGTAATTGTGTCCCCTTGCTGTAAGGGGTTGTTGAAGAATGATTGCCAGGCAAACAACAAGCAAGATCTTGCTTTCTTTATTGTTAATGCAATCCGTTTGTTTTATTATGAAAGATTCCAAATGCCTCTAAAAGTTCTTAATTTGTATTTAAAAACATTTTCAGAAAAATTGCATTTTTAAGCATAATAATGCATTTCTGTGTCAGGCTAATTTTATTCAGTCATTTTGCTATTACTATTCCAAAAACAATGGCTTTCTACAATCTCAAGTTAAATTCTACAAAGCTACTGATATATACATAATAGAAGAATTAGTATAAGAAAACCATTCTGATCTTGATAATTCCAATAATATAAAGACAATTGATTAAATATCCACTTGAACTACTGATAATTCCTATAGTATTCATATAGCTATAGTACTGTAATATAGTATTCAGTAGCTGCAAGAATTATCTCTTGTTTTATTTATGTTCATTTTGATATGGAGACACGGCAGTAATCCAGCATTCCTCAATCTATTTTCTTCATGTTAAATCTTATCAATAAACAAAGTCTGAAAATGCTTAATTTTTCTAAAAAGTTTTTATTAAAAAAATCAGTTTAAACAGAATTTACATTTAAGGAGTTTTTTTAAAAAGTGTGAAGTCTTCTGATTAGAATGTCTTAATTGTTGCAAGTGTATAATCCAACTAGAGATACCATTTTATAAAATAAAGAAAATTATTTATGCTATGTTAATTGTTTATTCAATAGCTTCTTGATAACAAGCACTGAGTTCAGCGTT